GAGGTAGAGCGGCAATGTTGGGTGTTTGCTTTTAAAGGATGATGATATGTAATAATTCCTGTATCTCAAATCATTCAAACTAGTCTCCCGGCCTTTCCCATACAAAACCATGAGATCATGTTGCCTGCTTGGGCAATCTCGTCCTGGTCAGCTCGAGGGTCTTTGAAAGCCTCAATAATTATTGGTATCAAGCCATTGTTTCTTTGCAGGACTTTGAGAAATTTTAATTTCCCCTAATTGAACAGAGCGGAAGTGGTGTCACAACCACTCATCGCGTGCAGGAATAAAATATGATCCGAGAGGGTTTTGTCTAGTAGGTGAAGATCGTAGATGGTGTGAGACACAGACAGGCCAATTAAAATCACCAAAAGTTCGATGTCTTCCCCCACCACTGTCACGTATTCATTTGAAGAAGCCACCTTGAGTGCTATCGTAATTATAAGAATATCAGCATCTTCGACTGCTTGCTGTGACTCAATATTTGCTTTATTCAACTTCTTCATAAGCATGAATATCAACCGGTTCTTGTTTGTGGGATTTGCGGGAAAACTCTCCTGCGAAACAGTGGGCACCATCGATTCAGTAAATGATATTGCCGCAGAATGTTTTCTTTGCGCTTTTCTCAATCGCTCTATTCGCTTGGTGCTTTCACGGCATTCCATTTGTAATTTGACTTTACATAGGAAACATAGCTACTGCTGATTTTTGCATATGTTTGGCCGTGGTGCCATTTGGCCCGGTGTAATAAAAACCCTCAATCGATGACAAATTTTGTATCGGTTAAGTTCGTCTGTTCAGTAGGTACAAAAGCCTTGTACAAACTCGATTTGTTTCCTTTCCTCATTACATGCTCATCGGAAAGTGAGAGAGGGTAGAAGCTAAGTTCGTAACCTAAAAATTCTCGTAGCTCTTCATCTGTATGTTTCACGATGGTCATTCGTTGGAAAAGAGTGATAGAATTGATGACTATAGCTCTGCCTTCTAGCTGTTCATGATTGCAAGGGTAGGCGCTTCGCTTGAATTTCACAGTTTTGAAGTCACCTCCAACAATGCGCTGCATACTTTGAATGCCAACCTCCTTGGAGAAGTGGCAGATAATTCTATCATCTGCGACAACATCTGAACTAAGTGACATCAAGTCAGTGGTCTCTGGAAAAGGTGGATGTTCGTGGAACCAATTCAGCAACTTTTTTACATCGGTTATGTCTCGCTCTTGCATCGTATCTCTGCTATCAACGTGTTGTTCAGACGTCGCGTGTTCCAAACCAGTGAAGTGCTCAATTTCTTGGCACACATTATGTAATGCAACCAGTCCTTGTGTCCATCTTGTTACAACACTTGGAGTGGACGTGGAGTACGTCCACGAGTGAGACCACCACTTCTTTTCATTGACTTCATCAGAGTTTGCTCGATGGTAATATCAGTCCAGGTGCTGCACCAAAGTTTATCAGTCCTCCGAATGATGAAACATCCTCCTATAGCGAAACGCTCGTATTCAGCAAGGTGAGCATACAGATTATGGCCACTGGCGTGAAAGAAAGGAAGCATCCCATATATGGTTTGAAGGTGCAGTTTCCAGTCACTGCTGACACTGCTCCTTTCTGCTTCAATGAAGTGCTTCATCAAAGTCACAATTTCGAAATATAAAACTCAGAGCTTGGCAGTTGGGCCACGTTCTGCCAAAAATTGAAGCTTATTTTGAATTCATCTTGCAGATCTTTCGCAATCTCTTCCACATAATTAGAAAGAATCACTGTTTTATCCATGTTAACATTTTCTTCAATTGATCGACCATTGTAGCTGACAGGGCCATTGACTGAAAAATTATTTTGGCCAAAGTTCTGTGGGCCAACATATGAGCTCGTACTGCCCTTGTGTATGCGTGGCCGGTCATGAGTCATGATTTTTTCAGTTGAGTTTGCTGCAAATATTGTATTGAGAAGTTCAGTCAATCCACTACCCTACATAATGAAACCAATTGACCCCATAAACGACATCAGTAAATGAAATCCTCCTAGCCTTATTACAACATTTGAAAGAGCAGGATCATCCGGACGGCTAGCAAGAATGTCTCGTGCCTTGAAATAGAGGGGTTGGTCAAATGTCACTAGGCAGGTAGCTTGGTTCAAAGATTTGGTCTTCTCTACACTCCGGCCAACAATGCTGTGAAAATTATCATATTCACTTGGAGGAGCATTGACAAATGGCTGATAGCTAATAAAAGTTACTTCATATGGTATGTTTCTTTCAAAGGGTGTGTGACCCAAAAATGAAAGTTTTAGTGCAAAAAAATCTAAGAACAAATATCTAAATGGCATCTTGCTAGGATGAACCGTTTTCGAGTTCGAGCGGTTTGAAGTGACGAACGCCTAGGCTGTGACGTCACAGTTGTTTCGGAGGCATAGTTACAACACCTGTAAAATTTTCCAAAACAAAAGTCAACGATCTCACTTAGAGCGAAATGCAACCATTTAAAGTATAGGGCACGTTTCACTGACGACTGAACAAACAGAAGGCTACTGCTACTATTTCGACGGTTAGCCAGTGTGAAGTCATAATTTCCCGCAACATTTATTTTCATAGGGGATTTTCTCGGATACTATTTTGAATATGAGACTGCAGTTTTCATGAGATATCTTAGTTTTTTTTCTCTGATTTAAATAGCTTAACTTGTTTTTTTGAGTTACCCCCCTCCACAAATCCATTCCGTCCAAAGAGTCCAGGAATGAACTTTTTCCATAGAGCCACAGAAGATCAGGCACAGAGGGGATCGCAGTTTCACTCGATGTGATCATTCCATCAAGATCGTTTATCTTCAATTCAGCTAACCCTGTAGGTTTTGTTCTTTCAAAATGTCTCAGTTTAATTGAACCATAACTTCCGGAAACCTCAGGCGAGTGTGTTACTCCGATCATTTTGAGTCGTGCAATGAATTAATTGGGGGCTACTGCCTGTTTTGGAGCAATACAGGAAATGCCACCCGTGAAAAGTGTTGTATCCGTCGATCGTAAGTACGTTGAAATCAGCGTTATCGTAAACGTGCTGTGAAAAGCACAACTTTCAGCGAATCGCCCTTGATTGCTGATGCTTCGAGGCGTACAGCTTCTTTATAAGATGAACAAAACCCCAATGAAGACACTACGTCAACTAATTTTCTTGAGCCGTACTTCTTGTACAGGAACACTGCCAACCCTACCAAAACAGGTGAGATAAACGATATAGGCCTTACCGCTGCAACAAGACTATATGCGTCATCGCTGTGCTCTTTTTTTCTCAAAATATCATGGTCCCCACATTTTTTGCTTAGTACAACTGTTTCCAAGAATGTACAGAGATTTTTTGGAATTAGTTCTTCACTTTTATCTAAAAACTTATCAGGTGGGGGTACTGTTCTGTGTCATAAGCCTGGCTCCGGATATCCTCAACAATAATTGCAGCAGCTACCTTAAAGATTCAGATTGTTTCCTTCTGTTCCTGTTCGTTTTCCATTGCCTGTTGGTACCAAGCATCAGTCAAAATTTTATATCCTGTGTTTTTGAAACGTACTACCTGTGCCTTATTTGGGGAAAAAGTGACTAGTATATCGCTTCCATATTTTTTCAGTAGATAAGCTTTGACTGTTTTTTTGTCAGGACAATAATCTGCTTTGATTTGGTCGAGCAACTCTTCGAACAAAAACTGGCACTCTTCATCACTATTTTCAAGATAACTATAGACATCTTCCATTGATGCTTCAACATCATTGGCGAATGGAACTCTTGGTTTCTCGTGTTGAATGTTTGGGCGATTGTACAGTTTTCTCATACATAAACTATGATGGTACTGAAAATCAGAGGCCACCAAGTCTGAGACAGGTAAAAGACGCTTGAGTATGGCTTGTCCGTACTCATCACCGCGTTCTGATGCTTTTTTTTATACCTAATGGTTTCCTTGACTTTTAAAGTTCGAACCTGATACACAATATTTCGATTGGTTTTCTTTTTTCTTTGTTGTTCTATAAACTCGGGGTTTGAGGAGGCCACACATAAAGCAATGAGTCATTCTTGCTTCAAATGAGCGGCAATCATCCACAAATTACGTTTTTTTGCTTAGCTGAACATGCTCACCATCTCTCCTCTTCTTACTTGACACAATAAACGTATTCAAACCTTTTTCCCGCACCGTTGTTGTGTTCTCTTCATCATTATCCATTACTTATACGCGTGAACAAACTTGATAAATCGGTCGTTATCTTGTATTCTAACTCGGAAATAATCCGAATCCCTTCGAAGCCTTCGGCATTTGACGACTGTTTCTTCTGTTTGTGGCGGGGGTTGCGAGACAGGAAGCTTCTGTCAATTTCTACCTACCGTTGGGCAGGCATCAAATTATTTAAGAAGGCCGGAAAAAATGAATTAAATTAAACGTGTTTAAGTAATTTAAAACTAGGAGGATTTCAGTAAGGCCGGGGTTATCCAATTCCTTAATTCTTAATTTTTGTTCTTAATTCTTAATCCTTAAAAACACCAATGTTAAATAAATTGAACTTTTTAAGAATTAAGAATTAAGGACAAATATTAGGAATTAAGGAATTGGGTAACTCCGGCATAAATGAGCTTTTAATACTAAATTAAAGTTTCCGAGTGAAAAGGGTGGATTTTTGGAGAGACAAATTAAATACGACCATTTTCGACTGGCGCTTGAGCCCAAACGGCTCGTCTTGCAAAAAAAAAAAAACTAAGCCATTATTGTCATTCATAGAAAATTTAATTTACTTTCATTTTGAATAGAGGTGTTTTCTCCAGAAAATAAATAGTTTTCGAGTTATACGCAAAAGACATTTTTTTCCACTTTTTTTGCATTTTTTTCGAGGTTGCGTCACGAATTTTTTTTAGCAAACCTCAGATTCGAATTCAGCACCCCATGGAAAAAATCAGAACTAGGTACCCCAAAACTTTCCCGCGAGAGGCTTTTATAAGCACAAATTTATTGTACTATAGGTAAATATTCATGTTTTGTAGATTTCTCAAGATATGAAAGACCAATACAAAATTCCAAATATAGTATTTGTCGATGATGGTTACGAAAAAAGCATAGACAAAGAAACTCAAAAACAATTTAGCAAATATTTGCCACTAGAAAAACGCGTGGTTTTGCCTTATGTCTCAGAAGAAAGCAATGGAGGAAATTCACATATAAAGACTCATTTACGTCTATACAGATGTTCAGAGAATAATGGAAAATATAGAGTAGCAGAAGTGAAAAATGGACCACTAAGTTGGAGTGACTTAAGTTCAGATGTAATAAAAAAACCATCTTTAACAAAATTGATAATCTAATTGTGATATTTTTCAGGATGTTTTTATCATAGACCAAGAAATCCATGGTATTTGGGTGTGGGTTGGAAAGCGTGTAAACGAAAAAGAGCGAAGCGAAGCCCTAAGGAACGCCAGGGGCTTTGTTAAGAAGAAAAAATACCCGAACAACACCAAAGTGACCAGAATCGTTGAAACCCTAGAAACCACAGAGTTTAAAGTTTTGTTCAAACAATGGAAAACTGAACATAAAACTAAAGTTCCATCTCCAAAAATACTAACAATCACAAAATTCGATCCGATAACAATGGAGGAACGTCCTACCTTAGCTGCTGAAACTCAGCTAATTGATGACGGTTCCGGTGGCATGACCTTATGGAGAATCAAAAACACAAAAATCGTTGAAATCCCTAAAGACAGACATGGTTACTTTTTCACTGGAGATTGCTACATAGCTTTGTATAGCTACCAAACTGCACGTGACGAGAAACATTTGTTGTATTGCTGGATCGGTTCAAATGCTTCACAAGATGAAATAAATATAACCACAACAAAATTGACGGAAATAGACGAAGAGTTGGGCCAATTAGGATTTCAGGCTAGGGTAATTCAAGGACGCGAAACTGCCCACTTTTTGCAATTATTTAAAGGAAAATTGATGATTTTTAAAGGACGAGGCATTGATTTTGATGGTAAGTATAAAGTTACACAGAAGCCGGTTCTGCCTCCTTGCTTATTATTGGTGCCACTAAACTGTAATGCAACTCATCATTCGTCTGATTTCAATGAAGTGGTCATTTTTTTTTCTTTCTGGCCTGACTAAGAAATAAAACGTCAAAGCTTAGAAACATCCTGTTCCATTTAATGTGCTATATGTAGATCTAAACTACGCATCAATCGAACTCGAACACCCCAATTTTTGGTCACTTTTTGTAAGACTATAACTCAGGCCGATTTTATTCAAATTTTCAGGAGTGAAAGGCTGATGCTCTAATTGCTGTTTAATTTCCAGTTGTTAACAGAATTCCGTCCACCTGCTAAAAGATACAGGGTAAAACATAAGTTGGCGAATTTTGTGCGAAAGTTTGGTTTCAGTAGATTTTTGGTATTCAGTTTACATTAGTACCTTACTACCTCGGGACGTTTTTGAGATTTTTTGAATATCGCAGCCCCCTAGGATTTTATCATGAACCTATGTGATTTTATGTAACATTTGCGGTTTGAAATATTCCGAATAATTCCGGAGAAATCTGAAAAAGTCCGAAATTTTGTAAAACTGTTTTTATTTTATTCTAAGATTAGTTGATGTGCTATTGAAAAACAGATGCCACTTTATCATTGCCACTTTTAGTGAGATTTATTAGTGCCGGTATTTCAATGTTACCTTAGGTACCCTTAATGTCAAGGTGAACTTGAAATCAGTTCATTCAGATGGCTTAAGAATCACCTTGAATTAAGGGAACTTTGATATACGGTGAAACTTGTATTAACGTCATTCCACAGGTTATTCTGTATTTTGAAGTGATATCGAAATACCGCCCCTCAGAGTGCTAATAATAAATTAAAAAAAAAAAACAATTATAATTAAAATAAAATAAAAACAAAACACATATTGAATAAAATTTAACAAAAACAAGCATAAATTTAACATGGACTTGACAAAAAGGTTACTACTTGGTAGGCCCACCCCGATTTCTAAGCAGGTCCGTCACTCTTCTCGGCATACTATAGACGCTTTAAGCAAACCCTAAATTTTTCAACGTATCCGTATCCGCATCCGTAAACGCATCGACTTACGTTGACCGTCTAAAAGTCCTTTTAAGCATGGTCATACATTACGTAAACGTTCGTATCCTTGGATGAACGTTTTCTAACCTCAAAGTGTTGAATTCGACTCGAGTGCTAAGTCAAAAAGACACTCCACTTGGTGAAAAGGGAGGATGTGGCACAGTGTTGTCAGATGTCAAATTTAAAATTATCAGGATTTGAGAACAAAATTATCAGATATCAAGAAAAATTATCAGAAAAAGTTTCTGTCAAATTTTGACTTTTTATCTCTATTTTCATTTCTCGGGCTCTAGCTGGGACTCTGGCAATTGTAGCTCTCAATAAGAGCTTCAAAAAAAGTTATTCAAGACTTTGAGCCCAAGGGCTTCGTTTTCAAGATAATCGGCTTTGAAGCTTTTGCAAAATTTGAGACAAAGTTTTAAAAGTATTCAAGATATAGAATTCAATCCTATTTTATCTTGAAAATAATTTTTTTCTGATTCAGAATATATAATTTTAGATCATATTTATTATAATAATAACCGAGTAATCAGCAATTTTGGGACAGAATGTCAGATTATTGAAATTTTCTGAGCCCAAAAATTGCAAAAATCGTTTCTATTATTTAACAGGGCTTTAAAACCCAAAAAGGAAAGTTCCGAAAATGCTTTTCTACTAATTCTAACCTCTTCTTTCGATTGGTGGAGTCAAAAATTGTAAAATCCATAAAATTTAAAAATTCGAATTTTTCCAGAGGGGTATGCATGGAAATTTGATTTTCAAATACCATTAAGAGGGCCATATTTTGGAAACCAGTGAAGCTATTGGCATGAATCTTTTGCCCAATTGTAGCTCTCAATAAAGGATGCAAAAAAGGTTATTTAAGAATCCGAGCCTATAAGGGCTTCGTTTTCAAGATAATCCGCCTGGAAGCTTTTGCAAAATTTGAGGTAAAGTTTCAACTTTGAGCCTCAATATCTTCACAAGTATTCAAGATATAGAATTGAATCTTATTTTATCTTGAAGATAATTTAATTCTGATTCAGAATATATAATTTTACATTATATTTGTTACAATAATAACCGAGTAATCAGCAATTTTGTGATAGAATGTCAGATTATTGAAATTTTTTTGAGCCCAAAAATTGCAAAAATCGTTTTTATTTTTTAACAGGGCTTTAAAACCCAAAAAGGAAAGTTCCGAAAATGCTTTTCTACTAATTTTAACCTCTTGCAAAATCCATAAAATTTAAAAATTCGAATTTTTCCAATGGGGTATGGCATGGAAATTTGATTTTCAAATACCATTCAGCGGGCCATATTTTGGAAACCAGTGAAGCTATTGGCATGAATCTTTCGCCCAATTGTAGCTCTTAATAAGAGCTACAGAAAAGGTCATTTAAGACTCCAAGCCCAAGGGCTTCGTTTTCAAGATAATCCGCCTGGAAGCTTCTGCAAAATTTGAGGTAAAGTTTCAACTTTGAGCCTCAATATCTTCAGAAGTATTTAAGATATAGAATTAAATCTTATTTTATCTTGAAGATAATTTAATTCTGATTTAGAATATATAATTTTAGATTATATTTATTATAATAATAACCAAGTAATCGGCAATTTTGTGAAAGAATGTCAGATTATTGAAATTTTCTGAGACCAAAAATTGCAAAAATCGTTTTTATTTTTAACAGGGCTTTAAAACCCAAAAAGAAAAGTTGCGAAAATGCTTTTCTACTAATTTTAACCTCTTCTTTCGATTGGTGGAGTCAAAAATTGCAAAATCCATAAAATTTAAAAATTCGAATTTTTCCAAAGGGGTATGCATGGAAATTTGATTTTCAAATACCATTCAGAGGGCCATATTTTGAAAACCAGTGAAGCTATTGGCATGAATCTTTTGCCCAATTGTAGCTCTTAATAAGAGCTACAGAAAAGGTCATTTAAGACTCCAAGCCCAAAGGCTTCGTTTTCAAGATAATCCGCCTGGAAGCTTCTGCAAAATTTGAGGTAAAGTTTCAAATTTGAGCCTCAATATCTTCAGAAGTATTTAAGATATAGAATTAAATCTTATTTTATCTTGAAGATAATTTAATTCTGATTTAGAATATATAATTTTAGATTATATTTATTATAATAATAACCAAGTAATCGGCAATTTTGTGAAAGAATGTCAGATTATTGAAATTTTCTGAGCCCAAAAATTGCAAAAATCGTTTTTATTTTTTTAACAGGGCTTTAAAACCCAAAAAGAAAAGTTGCGAAAATGCTTTTCTAATAATTTTAACCTCTTCTTTCGATTGGTGGAGTCAAAAATTGCAAAATCCATAAAATTTAAAAATTCGAATTTTTCCAAAGGGGCATGGAAATTTGATTTTCAAATACCATTCAGAGGGCCATATTTTGAAAACCAGTGAAGCTATTGGCAGGAATCTTTTGCCCAATTGTAGCTTTTAATAGGGGATACAAAAAAGATTATTTGAGACTCCGAGTCTAAAAGGGCTTCGTTTTCAACATAATCCGCCTGGAAGCTTTTGCAAAATTTGAGGTAAAGTTTCAAATTTGAGCCTCAATATCTTCACAAGTATTTGAGATATAGAATTGAATCTTATTTTATCTTGAAGATAATTTAATTCTGATTCAGAATATATAATTTTACATTATATTTGTTACAATAATAACCGAGTAATCAGCAATTTTGTGATAGAATGTCAGATTATTGAAATTTTTTTGAGCCCGAAAATTGCAAAAATCGTTTTTATTTTTTAACAGGGCTTTAAAACCCAAAAAGGAAAGTTCCAAAAATGCTTTTCTACTAATTTTAACCTCTTGCAAAATCCATAAAATTTAAAAATTCGAATTTTTCCAATGGGGTATGCATGGAAATTTGATTTTCAAATACCATTCAGCGGGCCATATTTTGGAAACCAGTGAAGCTATTGGCATGAATCTTTTGCCCAATTGTAGCTCTTAATAAGGGATACAAAAAAGGTTATTTGAGACTCCGAGCCTAAGGGCTTCGTTTTCAAGATAATCCGCCTGGAAGCTTTTGCAAAATTTGAGGTAAAGTTTCAACTTTGAGCCTCAATATCTTCACAAGTATTTGAGATATAGAATTGAATCTTATTTTATCTTAAAGATAATTTAATTCTGATTCAGAATATATAATTTTAGATCATATTTATTATAATAATAACCGAGTAATCAGCAATTTTGTGAAAGAATGTCAGATTATTGAAATTTTCTGAGCCCAAAAATTGCAAAAATCGTTTTTATTTTTTAACAAGGCTTTAAAACCCAAAAAGGTAAGTTCCGAAAATATTTTTCTACTAATTTTAACCTCTTTTTTTGATTGGTGAAGTCAAAAATTGCAAAATCCAAAAATTTAAAAATTCGAATTTTTCCAAACGGGTATGCATATGGGAATTTGATTTTCAAATAATTCAAAGGGCCATATTTTGGAAACCAGTAAAGTTATTATGGCATGAAACTTTGGCTCAATCTGGGACTAGTGTTTGGTACTCGCACCAGTACGTCAAAACACTCAAAACCAACAACCACCTTCAATTTTTTAATAAATTTTTAATTTTTAACTAGAAATTTGAAAAATCTATATTAAAATTGTAGTTTCAATAAATTATGGTAGATTGATTAGCTTGTCATTATTGATTATTGAATCGTAGTCCATATTATGGTAGAATTCGATAATTATCGGGTCATTGGCAACACTGATGTATTCTTGGTTTACCACCTGCAATGTCTATAATTCTATAAGCAGCAGTGCCAGTGTTAAACCGCCATTTTATTGGCCATAAAATTGCTCGACTTTGCCCTAATTTAACCGATCTCGTATTTTTTATAATAACCGAGATCCCTCTGGTTAGAAAAATAGACACACTCTATATTTTTGTATGACCCTGTGTAATATGTTCTAAGTGTGTTTCCATTTGCGCCATAAGTGTAGTCAAAAGCTATATTTTACATAAAATCGCATAACTGATGATAAAAGCGCAGTGGGCAGCAATCAATCTGCGATATTCAATAAATCTCATTAACGTCCCGAGAACTGAGGTACTCTTCTTAACTGAATACCAAAAATAAACTTAACCCTCCCTCCAGCAGAATGGGGTTAACCCAAACTTTCGCAAAAAAAACGCCAACTTATCTTTTAGCCTGTATCTTTTAGCAGGTGGACAGAAATCTGTTAACAACTGGAAATTGAATGGCAATTAGAGCAGCCTTTCACTACTGAAAATTTGAACAAAATCGCAGGCCGATTTTGGTCTCACAAAAAGTGACCAAAAATTGGGGTGTTCGAGTTCGATTCATGCGTAGTTTATTTCTCTAGATGGACATCTTGTCAGACTGTTTTTAAATTATAAGTTTCTTCTGCATTTGGAGAATTGCAATACTTTAGAAATATTATTTCTATGGAGTTTTGCTAAATACAGTAACATTGAGTGTCTCTGGAATAACTTTGCGTTATTTCTCACTTACGAACCCTATAAAGTACCTATTGAAGCAATGCAATATATTTTTTCTATTTTGGTGTCATATCGCAGTCTTTTCGACACAAAAGTAGTTTCGAAAAGAAGCTCTTTGTGACACTCCTTTTTTACTTATCGGAGGTTGGTAACACTGGCTGACTGATGGCCATCGAACTGTCATTCGCGATAAAAAATAACTTGATTTCTATATTTGGCATGTAGTCTTGCCAACCTAAACATATGAAATCAGGAAATATGAGAATAAAATTTCCAAGAAGAGTTTGTTTTTTTCAATTAAACAATACCAAAATAGAAAAAATAGTATAAAATATTCGTTTCATAAGACATTTTATCGCACTCGCCCTCTAGAAAACTCGCCTCCGGCTCGTTTTCTAATGTAGGGCTCGTGCGATAAAATGACGTCTTATGAAACTTGTATTTTAATGTAGGTACTATTTCAAAATTGTTCAGTTCAATAAACTATTTTTTTTTCTTTTAGACACCGGAAAAAATCTTAAAAGCCCTAACCAATATCTTTTAAAAATCCACGGATCTACCACATACAGTGCAAAAGCAGAACAAGTAGACTTCAGTGCCTCATCCCTAGATTCAAACTCCTGTTTCGTCCTAAAACGAGGAAAAAAATATTGCGTTTGGTGTGGACATCATTCAACAGGAGATCAGAGAGAAATGGCCAAAGGATTTGCGGGAAAGGACTTTGAACTTTTGTTAGAAGGCAAAGAGAAGGATTTTATGACGTTGCTTGGGGGACCTAAAAATTACTTTACGCAACTTGTACGCGATGACTATGATCCTAAGCCACCACGATTGTTTTTTTGTAATTCTAACAAAAATCATGAAGGTATATGAAGGCATTCTATTATCATAGATATATTTTTCCCATCTTTTATTTTTAGTCCAAGAAATACTTTTTTTTCAACAAAAAGATCTGCTACCAGAAAATGTAATGCTTTTGGACACAAATGACGCTCTCTACATTTGGATCGGAAAACTAAGCGCTAGAGAAGACCAGAGACTGTCTATACAAACCGCTTTGAATTATTTGCAAAATGATGCGTCAAATAGAGACATGAATATGACTATTATTCATATAAAACAAGGAAAAGAACCTCCAACTTTTATTGGATTTTTTCCTGTATGGGATAAGAAGTTGTGGAAAGTAAGTTTTGATTAAAGATCCAAGTACAGGGTGGCCCAAATTCGAGCCTCATCATTGAGATCTCGGTAACCTTAAGAGATACGGGGTCGGTTAAATTATGGCAAAGTTGCGCAATTTTATGACCAATAGAGTGCCGTTTTGAAACTGCAAAGACTCCTAATACTTCCAGAGATATTCGGAAAAAACCGAAATTTTGTAAAATCGTATTTATTTTTTCCTGGGCTTATTTGAAGAGCAATTTTAAAATAAATGTCACTTCATCACTTTTCCCCTTTAGAAGATGGTGCTACTAAATTTAAAATTCGACATTTCGTCTTCAGGCGGTCATCCTCAACTTCCTTTTTTTAAATATGGACCTAGATTTTTTTATTTGCGATTTTGTCATCTTTGGGTATCCTAAAACCGATACTGTTTATAATTTTTCAATAACACAGTAAAAAAAGCAGGTCCGTATTTAAAAAAAAAAAAAAACATAAATTGATGATGATTCCAGAGGAACGAAACGTTGCATTTTAAATTTAATACCGCCATCTTGTAGAGAAGAAAAAGTGACAATGGGAATGTAAAAAATTAGTTGTTCAAAATATTTTTAAATAAAATCAGAAAAAATGAAAACTATACGAAAAAAACATGAATTTCTCCTTTTTCTTAAATTTTTTCCTGATTCCATTTAAAAAGATTTTGAAAAACTAATTTCACATTCCCATTGTCACTTTTTCTTCTCTGCAAGATAGCGGTATTAGGTGAAGGCAAAAAAGTGACAATGATGAAGTGACATTTATTTTAAAATTGCTTTTCAAATAAGCCCAGTAAAAAATAAAAACGATTTTACAAAATTTCGATTTTTTTCCGTATATCTCAAGAAGTATTCGGAATCTTTCTAGTTTCAAAACGGTATTCTATTGGTCATAAAATTGCGCAACTTTGCCATAATTTAACCGACTCCGTATCTCTTACAGTTACCGAGATCCCAATGATGAGGCTCGAATTTGGGCCACCCTGTACATGAATATTTTGAAAAAAAAAACATACTTGTAGCACTATAAAACGTTTGCCAAAATCCGTCAGGAAATAGAGATGAAAAATTCAGATCAAACAGTACAAAACGGTCATTATGCACAAACTACTTCAGATAATGGAGAATTTGATCAATATGAAAAATATCCAATAAACATTTTAAAGGAACCCAATGAGCGATTGCCATCCAGAGTTGATTCACTTAATAAAGAGGTAAGTTCTTGTGTATGTTTTTTTAATTGTTTTAAACCCTATTGTAAAATAATTCCAGTTGCATCTCACTAATGACGATTTTGTGTATCTATTCAAAATGCCGTACACAGACTTTGAAAAATTACCAAAATGGAAACGACAGGAGATGAAAAAAAGAGTAGGATTATTTTAAATTAAATGCACTTCCAACATATCCACATAAATCACACGTGGGAAAAAGGATAAATAATAATAAAGCTACAAGTTTACAATAAATAAGAACAATTTATTTATTTTATTCTAAAATTACCCATTTTGGCTTATTTTTGTATTTGATAAGTATTAGGAAAGGCGCAAAAAACTAATCAAATTTTATTATTTAAATGTCACCTAATAAATGATCATTTTTCGTAGAGCACTACAAAAAATAAGGCACAATGCACAATATTGAATGTTTATGCTTAGAATATTACAATAATCATAAATAAAAACTTTGTACAATAATTTAAAAAAAAAAGAAAATAATATAACAAAATATTTAACAATAAGTATAGAGAATTTGCTTGTAAATAATCGAGGAATGTGGTAGCTAAAGCAGAACAGCAATGTTCTTAAAGAATTCGTAAAAGTGTGCCTCAAATATTGAATTTAAGTTTTGCAGTTGCTGAAAAGGGAAGTAGTTCAAAATGAACCATCCTTAAGCATTAAGTACGTTTAACAAACATAAAATATCAATCCATTTTTCAGCTTCAAGCAATAAATGTTTCAAAAATAATATCACATTGTTTGTCTCAATAAGGGCCAAAACGCACAGCAATTTTTTTTCGTAAGCCAAACCCGTTCTATATTAAACTAAATAATTGAGCTTATTATTTCCTATATTAAAATGTTTGATTAAGAGTTATAATAACCCAGACATGCCGGCGTGTACACCATACCTAGTAGGTACAGTAAAATCAACTCCCGTGCTGTTTCACTCATGAATTCCATATTCTAGATTTTTAATGTTTAATCTGATTTGTCTATGACGATTTGGTTTGTGACACTGTAAGCTGATTAATGTATGCAATATGCAACTCAAGCAAAGAGACTTCTACAAGGTGACAACTTCTCTGCGGAAGCACTAAAAAAAAATTAGGTAGAAATTTGGCCCAAAAATTCAGTTATTATTTGTTTCAGAGGCAAGATCATCTCCAAAGTTCAATGAAATTGTTCTAGAAACTCTTGACTGAAGAGTATCCAGAGGTACTAGTTCAAAACAAACAATATTCTACTCAAAAAATCACCATCCTGAATAGAAAACTCTGAACCTAAGTGCGCGTTCACATTGACACCGCTCGAGCGTTGCGCGATGCCGCTGTAGCGATGCCCAAAAATAATTTTAACATTATATTTCAAATGAACAAGTTCACAATGAGGCGGCGTGTCGCGCGGTGTTAACATGTTCATTTGAAATAGTAATGTTAAAATTATTTTTGGGCATCACTACAGCGGCATCGCGCAACGCTCACCGCTCGAGCGGTGTCAATGTGAACGCGCACTAAGGCATTCAAAGGTGTTCAACGGACATATTCATGTAACATGGAAAATCATTATCTGACAATGTAAGATGGCAAATTGACAAATTTTGTTTCTAAGCTGTTCATGTGTTCATACGGCTTTAAACACATGCGTTTTTCGATAATAATGAAATTTCTGTTATGCCTTCCTGCTTATTTCAAAAACTCTGCTCCTACATATCTGGGTTAAGTCCTTTAATGTGCATGAATTGATTCTAAGAAAAAGTTCATCAAAGTCAGACATGTAAAATTAATTTCAAATCATTATCAATATCACATTGTAAAAGCCAGCTCAAAACTATCAGTTCATTAGGGTGATAATTTAAAGAGGTTTTTCAGAAGTTCCATAAATGGACCAGGAAGTCACGTTAATTTTAATTTTCTGTCATTTGCTGCACATGGACGAATTGGCCGGAAGCGTTGCAGATCGTTGTTGAACATTCAAATATGGCTTTAGACTTGAACGGGTCGATTCTCTAAAAAAGTTTTGTTTCAAAGAATAAAGAATCAATTTTCGATTCACTAAACAAATTATAGACAAAGACCCAGCGACAGTTTTATTTACACTATTTTTCAGTCTAACCCTTGTTCTGAGTAAAAATGGAATAAGGCATCCTTGTAGTTGTTAGTCAATGAAAGATCCACAGCCCTCCAAAGGAGTATAGTCCCATATTGACTGCTGTGAGTAAGTATACATCTTTGTCTCTTGACACATTGGTGGTATAATATTATTATATATTTTATCATTATTATACATAACATATAGACATTAATTATTATAAGTTTCAATGAGAAAAATTATTGTAGAAACCATTATTTTTATTCATTAATACAATTTTTGCAGAAACATTATTTCGTACATAGGTATATTCTCATTCTGAACTATACAATACCGAATCTACGCCTATAAAGAGATCTTGCATTGACTGTCACGATAGGCAGCTGATGTCTATTCCATTATGTCAGTATATAGGAAATTACTGGAAAAACCCATCGCCAGTTCTTAGACCACTACCCCGTAAGCGTGCACTCTAAATCATGCAACAGACAAAGGAAAACAAAACTGTGTGGACAAAATAAAAACTACTTTCAATAGAAATTTTATTATATTTAAATATCAGTTATTAAAAAACTCATAACAATGTAAGGGTAAAATATTAGATAGTTTTATGCACCTCTTTGCTAGAAAGCATGAACTTAAATAACAAAAGTGCGTGAGGTGCACCTTAATGTAAATAAATTATTCATTTTTCACTGATGCATAAAAATAATTATTACTTAAAAATCACAGTTCACTTAACTTGAAATAAATGCCTCAAAGCCTAAATTCTGACTTATTTCAAAAACTCAGCCAGGCTTCTAATGAATTTATTTTAATAAAAAAGTATGTATATGTCATAGATAAATGCATAAAAATACAAAATAAGCTCCAGCTGCCAACTCAAAAAAAAAAAACTATGCAACAAGCAAAAGCCTAATAATACTACATAGTTGCTAGCTAAGTACAAAAAAAAAACAATAGTTTGAAAATTAAAATTTTCCCTAAAGCAAAAATGCTGACTCACCTAGGTGATATCTTCGATGAAGAATCTGAAGCATTGGAATTGTTAGCCTTGAAACCGCACTTCTGAATTTTTCTACTGAGCCTCGACACCCATTGCCTTTGTTCCTCGGTGGAGGAAGCTAGTAGCAACAATTCTTTGGCATACGAAGGATCGGAATGTAGTTTACAAGGTGGCACATTGTCTTCTTTGCGATCTAAGTGGTCTTTGTGGATTTTTATCCTACATCCTAAAACAATAGTTTGTCTTTTGTGATTTATTTATTCGAGGTTGAAAAAAATTATACAGTTAATGTTTATTAACGGTTTCCTATATTAAAGTTACAAAGTAAAATATAAGAAAAAACAGCAAATAATGAATGATAAATGCGGTCAGGTCAATACAATAAAAAATAACAATAACACTGTCAGGGCACTGACCAGTCTAGTCTCCTAAGTGCTAGTCTGGAAGATCCTATATTGCTGCTATAGAAATTAAATTCACTACAATAATAATTATTTGTGAGTATACAAAGGATGGTTATGGGACTGTACAGGGTCTGTTCCTTATGATAAGTGCGGCTTCTACAGCTTAAACAGAAAATAATTTTAAAAAAAGGTAAATACAAAAGTTGTAGGGTTTTATCTCTTATTATTTTTCGCAAATGTCAAAATGTGCAAATGACAGGTGTCAACTGTCATTATGACAAACACTTGCACACAGCATAAAGTAAATATTCAAATTGATCAACCACATCGTTCACAAAAATAAATATATTAAATAGCAATGGAGCTAGATGAGTCCTTGAGGGACACCCGATGTTACAGCTATTTTATCGGAACAAAACTGTTTTATTTCCACAACTTGTCTTCTGCCTGTTAAGTAATCTTCCAGTCAGTACAATAATGGGCCATAAACACTATTACGAAGGAGTACTCCATGATGAACTATGTCAAACGCCTTGGAGAAGTCAGTGTACACAACATCAACTTGTTGACGCCTCTCCAAAGCTCTCAACAGGAACTCATCATAGAGTAACAGATTAGAGGTCGTAGAGCGTCCCTCAACAAAACCATGCTGACTAGTTGTAATTACATTCCTAAACCGAGTTGATAGCTTATTTGCAATTATACACTCAAAAATCTTTGCATTAATACACATTTTTAATATTGGGGGATAGTTTTCAATCTATATATCTATCTATCACCATTTTTATGTATGTAAGACAACTTCCAAAAATCAGGAAATACAATACTGGTCAAAGACAGCCTGAACAGATTCACTAAAACATCCGACAAAGATATTGACAATTTTTAAAAAACAACACAGGCCATTCATCGGGACCTGAGCCTAAAATAAACTTAGGATTAGTTATACAATTAAAAACATCTATCAAACCTATAGCACACCAATTTATATCTAATCTGTCACCATTATAAGGTGGAAAATTATCAATAGTAATATAACTAGTGCAATGGAAATTATTGATAATTTTTGGGAAATTTGCCCGAATGCATTTTGTCAAAACATCAGTTTTCGCACCAGTTAGTATGCAATAGACCTGTCTCGCATGATTAGAAAAAGTGAGCTTAATTGTAATTAATACAAGTTAGAAAGCAATAGAGGATGACATGCGCGCGCAACTCGTAGGCTGCAGTGTAGCCAGATTCTATTGTTGCAGAACCAAATGTAGACAATACAAATCGAACAGTATGACATTAAAGAAGTGATATAGTGTCGAGGGTTTTACAATGCCTTAAATCAGACAAAAGAAGAGCTTTAAAGTGGATGACTATCGTTTGCACTTTTATTTTGATAAATGTTTTATCCGGCAACATCGCTCAATGAATATATGTCAAGTATAATCTAACATAACCTTAAACGAAACTGCGGTGAGTTCAAGTAATATGTAAAGTATTAGTTTGCTCTTTGTCAAATTACACGTTACAAAGAAAGAAGGAATGATTGATTCTGAACTGGCTCCTGAATTAGAATATGACGCAAGCCTGTCACAAACTTGCTTCTCATTGGACGCTCACCTGCAGCCTACAAGCGACGCGCGCAGTCCAGGTAATAGGAGATCGGTCTATTATCTGATAATTTGCACTAGTGCAAATTATCGCGTAATTACAATCTGATTGGTTCAAATCAACAATCAAAACATGTCAATTTATTGTTGGAATAACAGTTTTGACAGATGTATGAAATTCTCACAGTTATTTTCTTTATAGACAGATCCAAAATGTTTTGAAAAAAATAACGCAATTTCATATGGATTTTTAGAGGAACAGTCTCCAAAGCTCATGCACACTGGCAAATCTGAGTTATCTTTTTTTGATTTAACATGTCTCCATATTCCTTAAAATCATTGTTATTATTACTTTACACTTGGCCAATATGATTTTTATAACAAGCATCGAACAAAATTTTACCTTGAGCACGAAGACTACTAAACTTTTCATAGTCCTGCAAGGAACCATGTTGCTTCCACATTTTATGCATAGTTTTCTTGTTTATAATCAGCGATTTGAGTTCTTTGCTATATCAGACAGGAAATTTGTTAATTTTGGCTCTCATTTTAGGAACATAAAGATCAATACATGAATAAACAACATTATAAAATCCACTTAGTGCTACATTTACATCACGAGTATTGAGGATACTTTCCCGGTCAACATTTGCTAAATAATAATTTATTTCTACATAATCAGCTAGCTTATAATTATAATATTCATAATCATAGGACATTCTTTGAACTTCACAATCAACAGGTACATTGAAGGATATTGCTGGGTGCCTGGGTGGTATACCGGGTGTTTTTCAAAACCCGCTCACCCCTATAACTTTTTTATTTTTCCAGATAAACAAATGAAATTTCGTGTTTTTATTTATGACCCGGAAGTGCATTATTTGACGTATTCAATTTTTCTCTATCACTTCCGGTTTGACCGGAAGTGACCCTAACTTTCTTGTTTTAAATAAGACGCCAGGTATATTTTTCCTCATTTTAATAGAAAACTACATTACGAGTACAATGACACCTCATTTGTCACTTTTTGACATTTCATCACGAAATTATTTAAATTTTTACTTTTTAATCTAGAGCGCCATGAATAAGTCAATATGCTTAATTTTGCTCCTAGGAACATGGGAAAATTTGTTCTGATCTTATTTTGTATTTTATATCCTCAACAGACTCATTTAAAGATAGTAGAAGCGCATTTTTGGAAGTTATCAATTTTTTCAAATGGAAAGGGTATAGCTCATGAGCATCTTCCAAAAGAGCGTTTTCTAAAAAGCAATTCAGTACTACACAATCGCTAGTTCCTCACTCAAATTAAGAATTTTTCTAGCATTCTAAATATTTTTGTAAAATTTTAGTTCAAAATTTAAATAAACTAGCCGGGAAACTAGCGATTGTGTGGTACTAAATTGTTTGTTAGAAAATGCTCTCTCGGAATATACTAATGAGCCATACCCTTTCCATATGAAAAAATTGATATAAGGTATCTGTCCCGAATAAGGCCACATTAAGAAGTTTTATTTTTTTCCTTACATTATCCACCAAACCCCCAACAAAAATCACGAGTTTGTATGTGAAGTGTTTCGTTTCTATTACTTGAATATTAACACCAATTTTTTAATTTTTTAATATAAGTGGTGGTTTTTGCGTAAAACCTAAAAGCTTACCATTGGCCTTATTTGGATCACTATGCTCCTATTTATAGAAATATTGTTTTTTGAGAAATAGTACACAAAATAAAACTTAAAACGTTTGCTGCATTCTAAATAAACAATAATTTCAAGTCCTTGGATGGTGATCCAAATAGGTCTACACATAACAGGACAAATAAATTGCAGCTTCTCTTGCTTTGTTATAGACTCCAGGCGTTTTAAAACACATCACTTAGGTAATAATATGACACATTCTTTTAAAAAAACATTGTGATGTGGGGCCTATTAAACATTTTTCATATGGCCTTATTAGGAACATGTTACATTGATAAAAAAAAGTCTGTAACTATAAATCTTGCAAAGATATTATTCTGCACTTACTCTGTAGCTTTCTTAATACATTAATGTCCGTGTAAAAATTACATTCGCTGCAATCACTTTATAAACATGTGTATAAACTAATTAAGTTCCAGCCTCAAAGTTATAATATGACATATTAAATATGTGGTTGGCCATTTTTTCGACATATAACGAGTTTCTAGGAACCCTTGCAATAATTTTTGATTTGCATTTTAGATTTCTTTTTTAATAATATTGTAATTTTTGAAAATGGGATTCTATATTAAGCAATAAAGGGCACTGGCCTTATTAGGTACATGGCCTTATTTGGGTCAGGTACCTTAATTCCAAAAATGCGCTTCTACTATCTTTAAATGAGCCTGTTGAGGATATAAAATACAAAATAAGATCAGAACAAATTTTCCCATGTTCCTAGGTGCAAAATTAGGCATTTTAACTTATTCATGGCGATCTAGATTAAAAAGTAAAAATTTACATAATTTGGAGGTAAAATGTCAAAAAGTGACAAATGAGGTGTCATTGTACTCGTAATGTAGTTTTCTATTGAAATGAGGAAAAATATACCTGGAGTCTCATTTAAAATAAGGAAGTTAGGGTCACTTCCGGTTAAACCGGAAAAATAAAAAAGTTATAGGTATATCACATGGCAGCAACAGATCATCACTGACATTCATGCCAACATCAGGGCAATCACAGAATATCAAGTCCAATGGAGATCCATGAACATTATGGATAGTATTTACTTGAAATAGGTTAAAAAAAGCATAACAGTCAATAATACTTGAGGCCTGTGGAGAAACTAAGTTTTTTGCTCTCCCATCACAGAGATCATTTTCCCATTGAACATGAGCTAAATTCATCAAGAAAAGCACAAAAATCTGCGTAAGGTCTACTGAAGATTGAGGAAGTATCTATATAAACTTCCTATCAATATCTTCAGGCCAGTTAGTGAGATCGTAACAAAAACATGTTCCACACCTTAGGTAAAGGAGTAGTAACATGGAGTTGGAAAATGAAGCCGTTTTTTCCAGGTATTTTGGCACCTAAAAAAATGGCGGTATACACTTTATTTTTCCCCAAGATAGATTTTGACATTGAAAACTTTGAAATATAAACAATAACGCTTGACCCTGATTGGTCGCAAAATGAGGTGTTTCTGCAGGTTGACATCAGTTTTACAATAGCGACCAATAAGCGGCATAGCGGCATTGTTTATGTCTATCTTGGGAAAAAATAAACCATAGGCAATTCAATGCTTTACCTGTATTTTGGTACCAAACACCTGCCAAAAACTTGGCTTCACTTTAGTTTCATAAGCAGAATGGCGCGTTCCCACTCCTTATGTCCATAGGACAGCGCTTTACCTGCTCTAAGTTCCACATTGATCTAACAGGTTAGTATCCTCTTGGCAGGCAACGATTATTGATCGCAGTGAGAACTCCACTCCCACGCTTATGAGCGCTAGTATCAGTTGAATGGTCACTTCTTAACACAGTGTAATCATCAAAACCCAACTCCTCATCACCAATAGCATTATTCAGCCATGTTTCAGTTAGCAAAACAATATGATGATCATTAACAACCAAAGAGCGGGCAAGTTCAGCAACTTCGTCTGGAGGCCTTGTACCGGGTGTTTTATTATCTTTGATATCAATTTGATCACTTGTTACTTTTTTGTTTTTGAAGTTATCAAGGTAAACAAAAAAACAAAATGTAGGGTTAGTAGCCAAGTTTTTTTTCAAGTTACACATAAAACAAAACACTATCAATTTTTTGACATAAAAGCGTACATTATATTTTTTCAAATGGAGCACCCTGTATATTATATATGTGTTCGATAGAATATCTTATTCTGATTACAATGATATAACTCACTTCATATTTTGGTCCACTCGTTTTTGACAAATCGGCAAAAATATGAAACTTTCGAAGTGAACTTATTGGGCGGGGGTCTGATATGGGACGAGAATTATTGAGAGCATATAAAAATTTCATATATTTTTGCCGATTTATCAAAAACGAGTGAAACATGAAGAGTGTTATATCATTGTAATCAGAATAAGATGTTAATATAATAATGTAGGCTTGTATGTCAAAAAATTGATAGTGTTTTGTTTTATGTGTAGCTTGAAAAAAAACTTGGCTAATAATCCTACATTTTGTTTACCTTGATATCTTCAAAACCAAAAAAGTTACAGGTGATCAAAATGATATCAAAGATAAAAAAACACCCGGTACATTCTGGTAGTGAGTTGTTAATTGCGATTCAAAAGAACCTTTGATAGTATCATTGTTGAAAGTATTTGGTGATTCAGTTGCTGTCTTTGTGCCCAAAGAAAAGAGGTTGAAGCTTGACCCAAAAAGTAAAACTGGAGTGTTGGTAGGCTATAGCGATGAAACAGAAGGACTATAGGGTGTACTTTCCACATCTGGGCCAGGTAGAAATACATCGAGATTTAATAGTTTAACATCAAGTTTCTCCAGATATGGAAGATAAACTAGTAATAGAAAGTATAGTGAATTTAGACATATTTAGAGAACGATGATGACAGGGAAATTATTTTGAACGTTCCAAGGCAAAACGGTCACATTTCAGATTGTGATATATCAAATGTGACAGACGTGGACTTGGACCAAACAGTAGTAGAATCCAGGGAACAATATAGGACAGGCCCCAGCTCTGATTCAGGTAGACTGTGTGAAATCTAGTACTGAAAATGCCTTGGAGAACACAGTATTAAACACCAGACAAAGAATACTTAAAGAGCCAACCTGCAAGATTATGAAACAAATGCCAGTTTCTTTACACAGAATGAAGAACCAATTTTTTATGAGGAAGCTGTTCATGTGGATAAATCTCAAAAATGGAAACAAGTTATTGAGCAAGAGATGGAGGTGCTCCTGAAAAATAATACACAGACTGAGGTACCCTGGCCAGATGATAAAAAAGTTATTGAGAGTAGGTGGGTATTTAAAGTTAAATTAAATGGTCAGTTTAAAGGGGTGCAAGTTTATCAAATGGATCAAGGTGCCTTCTTGTATGGTAGAAGCACTGACGAAATTTATATATTATGGTCTGAAAAAATTTCCAAAATGTTGGAATACAAAATTTGATATGTTAATGATTACACACCCACTGCAAGTTCATCAGATAATCAACTACCAGACACGAAAACTAAAAATTCCTTATATTGCTTAAGGTCTGTCATACTTGCTCAATCAACAGGATGAAGCTGAATGGCAACTATATCCTATTCACAATCCGTAGTCCAAAGGTGAAGGTAAATTTATCACCTTTCCCTATCAAATAGCACTGAAAGGTGATAAATTTTACCTTTACCTTTAGACATCAGATTGATTGATAATAAGTATTAATACTTTGATCTATCACGACTCTATAGTTAAAACAAGCATTGTTTTATGAATGCTGTAAAAGTAAATTTAAAGAAGTTCCTTACGTTGACATTCCAATGCAGGCGGCGGCCTAAACATGTGCCAAACCTGTTTGGGACACACCTCACATTGGGTAGGCATATGATAAGCAATATTGAGGAACTCGTGGCCTTTGTGCATAATGCAACGCACTGCTTTTTCCTCGAAACTTTTCACTGAAGAAGTGTCCAACATATTATTAGGTTCTTCTGACGGCTTCCTAGCCTCACCTTCGCCAAGATACAACAATTGGAAGATGCGAGGGATGTCTTTGGAGTCCGCACGGATCACATCACCTTGAGTTACTGAGCGGACATGGAAGACTTTACTGCAAGAATTATTTTAAATTACCATCTCATAATTAATTAAATTATTTAATAGCTTTCTTACCACAAATCTAATATAATTACAGGGTCAGTATTTTGTTTATCACTTTCTGAATTATAGAATATAATTTTTCTACTCGAAACCACCACATATTGTTTTTTCCAGCCGTGCCTCCTGATATTTTGTTTGGAGGGTATCGAGAGCCAGCCCTCGAAAACGTAATCGGAATTAACATCATCACCTGTATCACAAACAGAATAAATAAATAGTATTAAAATGTATGGTGAAACTAGTTACCTTCATTGTCAGCTGAACTCAAAGATGCAGTTTCGCTATTCAAAGCTGCCAATTTCAGCTGCAACTGTTCAATTTCTGCATCTTTGCTGTCTAATTCCATTTGGAGGCGATGTTTATTAGCTACTTCTTCATTTAGTTGGAACTGTTAGGTTGAAATAAAGTTTTAAATATATGTGATGCAAGAGGCAAAGTCCAAAAATTACTTACGCTAAGATCCTGGACGTTCTTCTGTGAACTGGCAATCATTTGATTGTATTTATCCTTCTCTAGGCTCAATTCTTGCTGCAGCTTTTTCAATTCCTTCTCTTTTCTTCTCAAATCTGTATTGGAAACCTTTATTTTGCCAGGCTTTTCCTTCAAATCCTTCCTATGCATTATTTCATGTAGTTTATTGATGGCTGTTTGTTTTAGTAATGATTCAGTCTTCAATTTAGCTCTAAGCTTCTCGATCTCATCAGAGTTATCGGAAATCCTATTAAACTCCTCTTGTAACTGCTTGAGTTGCCTAAAAATGTCATCCTTTTCCTTCTGTAGCTGCTCATTTAACCGTTTCAGTTCAGCTTCACGGTCTTTTAGGGCATTCAAAGCTGCTTCTTTGGTGTTAACATCGTTCCTGTGCTTGCCTAATAAATCCTTCAGTTCCAACTCTTTCATGGTCTTTTCCTTTTCCAAATCAGCAACAGTTTCTTCTGCTATTGACCTAGCTAAGGCTTCAGAATCAGCTCTTGCCAAAGCCAACTGACACTGGTGTTTCAATGAAGCACGTTCTTCTTCAAATTCTTTGTTGACGCGATTTTTTTCATCGATTTCTTCTTTAAGTTCTTGAGTTTGTGTTTTATACAGTGTAGCAAAATATTGTTCAGTTTCAAGAGAATCTTGAAGTTCTTTCATTTGTAGCTGCTCTATGTGCCAGTTACGTTTCACACGAAATAGTTCTTCTTCTAAAAGTTTTTTGGAATCCTAATAAAGGAACAAACGGTTTTGTTTTATCTAATAAATTATCAGCATTTGCTTAGATTAGGTTAATTGCATTAAACAAATGTTTCACTGTGATTATTTTTATCATTTGCACATATTTGTGGTTTGATATAGATATAAAATGAACAAAAGTTCTAAAATGAATCATAAAAACGCGTGGGTGTGTTTGGAATTCCATTATTGATAAACAAAAGCCAGGAATTACTTGAGTTTTAGATTTTGGGAGATTGAGTGAGTGAATTTTTATTGAAATAACTTTTAAGTGATTTTTACCTATATTTGAGGGATTTTTTCCCTAGCCTAATATTATTCTCAAATTCAATTTTAATAAACTAAAAAGATTAAAGTAACTCACCTGGATTTGGTTTAAATCAGCTGCCAATTGTTGCTCTTTTGTCTTTAATTTCGTCAACTCATTGGCGTGGTGTGCCAATTCCGACTGCAAAATCGTCTTTTTCTGTTGTTCCTGCTCGACCTGCGAGTACAGGGCTTTACCTTTTTCCATTTCCTGTCTATACTCCCCTTCCAGCTTTTGCAATCTCTGCTGAATCTGACGATAATCCACTGAGAGCATGGAAATTTGTCGTTCTTTCTCTTGAAAATTTAGGTCTGCTTTTTGCCTAGCGCTTTTTTCTTCGTTTAGTTTGGTTTGTAACGCTAAAATTGTATAAAATTTATTTTTTAGCAAAATAAAATAAATATGGAGGATGCAGCCATTCAAAAGTTATATGATGAAATCGAAAAAGAAACACATTCCAGTGATTCTCACAGGATTAAAGCCCTCGAATTTGAACTACAACTAGAAAAAAGAAAAAGAGAAATTGAGAAGCTTGAAATTGAAGTGATGTCACTCAAAAATGCTTACGCAGCACAAATCGAGGTTGAAGTGTTCTTGAACTCAAAGTTGAACAATTTGGAAAAAGAATTTAAAAAAGTGAAAAACAATTTATGGGTTAAAGAATCTGTTATTGAAGATCTGAAGCAAGAAAATGAAGAATTGGAGAATAACAATCAATCATTTCTTAAGGAAATTAAAGAACTTTCTAAGGATATCCAAGATTTAAATAACAGCCTCGCAAGTAAAGAGCTGAAGTTACAAGAAATTATAGAAAAAAATGATGAAGAAAAAGAAGCACTTGCTAATAAAATTAAAGAGCTAGTAAATAATAAAGAAAAACAAAACGAGGAACTACAACAGGAAAATGAAAATCTATTGAGACAACTTGAAGAAACAAAAAACAAAGAACATGAAAAAGAAGAACAAACGTTTTTCTTTAAAAACAAAGAAAACAACGATTTATTAAAACTTCAAAGTAAATAATCATGCAAAAATCTTAAATTTCATGCATACAATATTTACCAGTGACAATTCTCTCCAAAAGTTCTGCATTAAAAAATATTTAACAAAATAAATTAATAATCCTATGAGCGAATTTTATTTCTCACCTTTAACAACTTCCATATTAGCCTCCTCCTTATTCAACACCCGACTTTTTTCAGTCTCTTCATGAGCCTTAACTTCTTGCTGATACCGCGTCTGGGCTGTATTTAATTCAGCACACAATCCAGCATTTTCTTTTTCCAAATAGGACACCTTTTCGCTCAATTGTGCATTATCTGTTGCTGTTTTGCTTTCCTTTTGCTTAACATTCTCCAACTCCTTGTTTATTGATAATAATCTATTTTCAAGCATTAACTGATTGTCACTGGCTTGAGCTAAAGCATTTCTAGCTTGACTTAATTGGTCTTGCAGCGACGTAACTTCGTTTTGCAACGAATCCTTGTGGCTTTGTAAGTTTTGAAGCATTGTTTGGTATTCGTTTACTTTAAGTTCTGAATTTGACCTGGCCATTGTTAGTTCTGTAGTTTGTTTGCGCAATCTTAAACAGTTTTCAGTTTCAACTTTGAGTTTCTCTTGCATTTCGCTTATCTGTTTTTCTAATAAGTGAATTTTATCATTATGTTGTTGATTGTTGTTCATTTCTTTTGTCCTTCTACACTGTTCTTCTTCAAATTTTTGCTTGAGGTCTGAAAGTAGTTTTTCAGTATGTTTTCTTAAATCCATCTCAGTGTCTGCTTTTCTTTGCATTTCTTTACAGCCATGCCTCAATAAAGCCACATCTTTTTCATACTTAGAAATTTCATCTCTCAAGTCACCCTCTCGTTCAGACAAAACTTCTAATTGAGTTATTAGTATTCGTTGCTTCTCTTCTAAAATTTCTACATTATTTTTTTCTTGGTCCAAGAGAGCCTCTAATTTACTAACTTGAGCATTAGTATCAGTAATGTAATTGCTATGATTGCTATCTACAACGTCGCCTGAGAGCAATTGTGAGTCAGAATTGTAAGTGAATCCTATGAAAGGGAGATGGTTGCCAACAAAGGTATTTGGCACAGGAAACACCTAGAAGAAATTAACAATTGTTATAGATAAAGCCCTCAAGGAAACTGCCAAATCAAACTAAAATTTGTTTTCATGTTTTCTCTTAATGAAGATTGAAATTAAAATGTGATTGAAAAAAATATCATTCAAAACAACTAAGTAATAGGTATATTTACTAAAATTCTTTGAAATTTCAACCGTGGCGGTTATTCTATGTTTTTACAATGTTTTACTGTTATATTAAATCTGTTTCACCTTATATTTAGTGGCTTTTATCTGGAATCATTAATTGGAAAATTCGTGTTTTGTCAGAAACAGACTAATCCTTACACACAATAAGACAAACTTGAGAAATCCAATCAACTGCTACATGTCTGACTACCAAAGCTGACCCAAACTTCTCCCAAAATAATACATAGTGCCTTTCTTTTAAATATGACAAACCATCTGGAGCATAATTTATGTCATCGATTTTCCAATCACTCTCGCGGATGTTTCATATTTGAAAGAGTAGTTTTTCACACAAATATTTACTGAAGATGTTCTTTTTTCAATTCAACTTATTATTGTGAACTTGTGATCCCTTGTTGCAAATGCATCAAAAATGGAAATCTCGTGGGAATGTGATTGTGTTAGGTTTTTAGTTTTTATGCATCAGTTACAAAAAGAACACCCTACGAATTTCTTGCACGATTCACTACAATGAACCTTCTCAAATGCCGTGATGATTGGACAAAAGAGTATGTGGTCAACCAACAGATGTAATTTACCTCGATTATGAAAAAGCCTTTGATAAGGTTCCTCATAATCTTTTACTGGGAAAGTTGGAGCATTTCGGAGTACGCGAACAGATGCTAGAATTGATAACCGATTTGTTACATGAAAGGCATTATCAGGTACGTTGCCGGATAAACATCGAGTTAGTAGTGGCGCTGTTCAGAGGTCTGTAGTAGGACCATTGCTTTTCATATTATGCCTTTTTGATCTTGTCGATCTCATAGAAACATCAATGAAGAAGTTTGCAGATTATGGGAAACTTCATGCAGCGCAGCTTCAAAAAGACCTGCAAACTGTTGAGGAGTGGTCGAGGGCATGGGGGATGAAACTGAATGAAGCCAAGTGCACCGTTCTTAGAATAGGGTGAAACAGTCCAAATATTGAGTACTAAATAAACAAGTTGTTTCAACAGTAGCAGAGCAAAATTATCTCCGAGTTACAGACATAAAATCTTAAATGAGAAAGTCACATCATCAAAATTGTCAAGAAAGCAAACTCATTAATCTATCTCATCAAAAATGACTCGGCTTTTGACTACTCGGTAGAGATGGTTACAAAACTTTACAAAAACTACATCAGGCCTGAATCCGAGTATGCTCTTGCACTGTGGAGCTCTTAGTATATCAAAGATATAGAGATGTTGGAGAAAGTCCAAAAAAGCGTTACGTTACTAAAATTCCATTCTATTAATATCCAGAGTCATCAAAGATTCGCTAGAAACTCAGGTAATCAGAATTTACACTCGAATTTATATAATTTATCAGTGGGGACTAACATTACAAATCAGCTCAAAACTGTACCGTTCTCAACCAAAAAATGGGTATACCTGGGTAGAATCGCTGCAGAATCCTCTAACAAAGATATTCAGCAGTATATATGCAGCAACCTGGGGGCTAGTGAGTCGGAAGTAGTTGTTAAAGAAATAAGATCTGATAGCGGAATGAACTCTTTTAAGATAGGTATAGAGATAGGTATTTTAACAATATAAAGAATTTAATTTCAACTTCCCAAGAAAATCAAATGTGCAGTCAAATTTTCAGTATCATCGGCAGTCAAAAAACCGGTACTAAATATTTATTATTAGAATGTTAGGGGGATTAAGACTAAAATTAAAACTCTCATGTGTAATCTGTTTGTTGATAACTAGGATATCGTACTGCTGACAGAAACATTTCTCGATGAAACTATTGACACCAATGAATTAGCATTACAGGATAAGTATATCATTTTTAGATGTGATCGGTCTTCAAAAACAAGCATTTATACATCTCAGGGTGGTGTCATTATTGCAGTTGACAATAAACTAAAACGCAACGTACTATTCACTGATGTGGAATCCCTTGAACAGCTTTTTGTAATAGTCTTAATGGATAAAAAACGTTTATTGTTTGATAATGTTTATATTCCTCCTGACTCACCATGTGAAGTCTCCGAAAAATATACATCTTCTGTTGTACAAGTTATTGATAGTTATTCCTGTGATAATACTGATGTCTTTTTGTGTGGTGATTTCAACAGACCAAATGTATTGGGAGTTAATGACGATGATGGTTGCAGGCCAACTGGGTTGATCACAGACCAAACCAGATGCCTGGCAGATTGTATGGAATTTTTTAATCTAAACCAAGTCAACCAAATCTCAAATCAATTTAAAAATTACTTGGACTTATACTTTGGCAATAGGAGGGATTTGTCAATTTTTCTATGTGTTAATCCCCTCCTGAAATTAGATAAACCGCACCCTGCATTAGAGTTTATGGTGAACATTGACAAATCAATAGATCACTTGTCAGCTGATTACTTTTATTATAATTTCAAATTCTGTAATTTTAGAGAACTCGAATTGGCATTATCGATGGTTGATTGGGGTAATATTTTATTGATTGAGGACTTAGATCACTTAATTGAAGTATTTAATGAGAATCTTTATGATGCTATCAAAGTATCAACCCGAGTAAATCAGCATAAGAACCCTAAGTTTCCAAAATGGATGGATGTCACCTTGAAATAATTGATTTTAATGAAGAAAGCTGCACATAAAAAATTTAAGGGAACATCTTCTTTAGAGGATTACCTTGAGTTTTCTCAATTAAGGGTAAAATATAAGGAATATGCTTCAATCAGCCATCAAAATTACCTAGATAGTATAGAGGATAGGGCGCAGGATCGAAATGGATATTGGAGTTACATTAGGTTGAAGCAAAATACAAATAGTTTTCCCAGTTTAATGACTTTGAAAGATGAGAATGCAGATTCTCCTGAAGACATTGCTGAGCTCTTTAAAAAACACTTTTGCTCTGTATACAAAAAACACGACAAATCAGATGCAAATGTCTCATGTGATTCGTTGTCTGTTAACTTGAGCTATGTAACTCTTGATGTCATGGATGTTTATGATAAGATTTTTCATTTAAAAGACAATCTAGGTAGTGGACCGGATGGCATTCCTGTCTTAATCGTGGAGAAATGCATATGTATATTTTCCTATTTATTCTGTCAAATTTATAATAAATAGAATACACAAGTCCTGCTGTTCCCTTCTTTGTTGTAATGTCTGCATAATTTAGAAGAGTCTGAAGTTTATCATAATCAATGGAATCATACTTTATACTCAATTTGTAAGCAATAAATCTTAAAAATCTCCTTTGTATTTTCCGAGGTATTTTCTCTAATTTATATTTATGTTTATCATAGTAGGGTGACCAAACAGGGCTAGCATACTCCAGCACTTGCCTGACAATAGATGAATAGGCATTTCTTAAAGTAAATATATTAATAAAATCCTTCAAACTACATAATAAAAATCCTAACGACCTCTGTTAGAAATTCTTTCAATGTGCTCTATGAAATTTAATTCTACATCCAAGTAGACACCTAAATCCCTCATGACATAAACTCTCCAGATCAATTCCCCCAATTGAATAATCAAAAATAAAAGGACTTTTCATTCTCCGGAAGGACATAATTTTGCATTTCTCTAAATGTTTCCTTCCACACCACAAATACATTTGATTAACTTCATTTTGAAGGATCTCACAGTCATTGATTGTGACGGAACTAGCTATTACCCTTTTGTGGACTCTAGTCATTACCGCACCAGGGATGTCAAAAGTTTTTACTTTGACTGACTGTAAAAATTAACCATTAGGTGTTGGATCATTTAAGCCTTGTATTGAACTAGGGGTGCCTTGATTCTCATTTATACAAATAAAACGCTGAAATAGAATAGTTATCAATTTAATTAATAAATGAAGTTAATTCGGTTTAATCAGCAATCAAATCCTATCTAATAATTCCTATTTGGACGTCCAGTCGAACTACAAATTTTATACTAATCTAAAGTAAATAAGCGAGTAAATAAGTATCTTGATTTATAAAAATAGTGAAATTTCATAATAATAATATCAATTATGGTTAAATGTTCAATGAACGAGAACACAAATTAACTAATTAGATTTACGAGAGCACAACACAAATAATTCGTGAACTTCAATCAGCTCACTGTATTCACAAAATGTTTATAATCCTTGAAGGTTCTTTTGTTTATTGAGAGTTAATAATTTGAGCACTTTTCTGCTGAAGTGTGTAAACAATAAGTGCAAGAAAAGTCTATATATATATGCTCAGTTTCTATATACAAATTTACAAATTAATGTTCATTTCACGAGTGTGAAAACCAAATTTCTGTATTAAAGGTTAGAACAAACACTTCAATTTATAGTGCATTTCAACCGAATCGGTATTCAGTATTTATTAATTTATTGTTCGACTGTTTTGAGAAATTGAAACGGTCTTACTTGCTTAATCCAGTTCATACCGGTAAATCCATATAGTGATTATTTATCCATTTATCACTATTCGTAGTAATTTGCACTGTCAGCTAAGGGATTTTCCACTAAGAGAGAGAACACAATGATATACAGAGTTGAAGCCCGTCGAGAGTGAGACAGGAATAACCTTAAACAGGCGTAGTAGAGAATTTTTGCTAGGTCCGAGATGACTTGCAACAATTTAGGGGTTAATTACATGAATTGTAATCAATAATATCGTTGATAATATAGGCCATGTCAGGCCTTGAGACACTGGGAGTAGTATTTTACTATAATTCGCGTACTAACGGGGGTTTTCTGGGGGTTTTTTCCTCTGTAGAGCGTTCAGAGGCGAGAGGGTGCAGAGTCTTTGCTTACTCTTCTGCTTCTTGATTACTACTGTTGTGTACCGTGCGTCGAGTCGACTGCCTTTTT